CTTCCTTCCGGAATGGATTAAGTTTGTAAGTCGAGGGTTGACTCTGCTATTATTCGAGATGGTTGGACAATGTCATTGAAGCTACCAACATGAATTTGATTAAACTCTGGGAGGTAGTGGAAGACAGGAGGGCCTGACGTGCTCTGGTCCATGGGGTCACGAAGAGTCAGACACAACTTAATGACTAAACAACATACTATTATTACGGTTATACCCTTCAGTATAAATCCCCAGCACATGTACATCTGAAGCTACACCATGCATCTGATTAAAGTGGGAGGCATATATTGTATAGTATGATAATCTGATATGATTGGGTTTGACACGTTTAGAGAGCAGTTCCCCATGTGAGGCAGAAATAAGAGATGTATTTTCTGGAAAAATATCAACATTTTTATTGTTCACAATTTCAAGTGGATTTATAACCGTTTCCACCGGTTCCAACAAGTTTAACTTCTTTAATGGTTCATAACTAACGGACAACAGTCCAACTTTTTTCTCCTCATAACTGTCAGACAACGGTCTCACATTCTTTTCTTCACAATTCAAAAGGGAGCAAGTCCAGACCTCTCTTGATCCTTCATCTTGCCGAGATGATTGCTTCTCATGGCATATACAGTCCCACAATAAGGGTGTCTCGCCCATTCATCCTCCTAAAGAAGTTGATTGAAATAGGAATCCGTTTTGGATATTTTCTTCCATCGCCCGTACATTCGCTTGGATCCCCCATTACAGTCCATTCTACCAGTTTTTATATACTTTACTTGAAATTTCTCCAGTATAGGTAGCAGTCCTCTTGTTCTTAAATTAGGAAAATCCTCCAATAGTTTTTTCATCCGTTTAGATTCTTCTAACTCATCTTTCCTCTCCTTTTCTTTCACCTCACCTCTCTCTTCCCTTTCTCCACCCAACTGCCCTTTCTTTTTCCTTGACTCCTCCTCCTCCCAGATTGACAGCTCTAGTTCGACCCCTTTTCTTTCCTCTGTCTCTTCTACTAAGCAAACCTCTGCTTTCTCTTTGGTTCCATTTGTTCCTTTGTCTTTCTCCTCCTCCTCCTCTTTCTCCTTATCCTCTGATTTCTTTCCCTTATCCTTTGACTCTGCGTATGTAGTTATAGCTGGAGAAGGAGATGGCACACTCTCCGGTATATCTTCTCCCTTCATCTCTTTCTCACATCTGATAAAACTATGGTGATACTATACAGTGGTGCCTCGACTTACGAATGTCCCGACTTACAACCTTTTCGAGTTACCACCAGCTCTGGCCGCAAAATTTTGCTTCGACTTGTGGCTGGAATTTCCAGTTACAAACAGAAAAAAGGCAGGGGGAAAAGGCGGGGAATTCAAATTGCTAACCGTTGGTAGGTGAAGAGACTGCTTCTTTGTAGCTCTTTCGCCCTAGTGGTTAGAATGTGCGATTGGAGGCGGCTTTGGACTGCCTGGTAAGGAAAGGTGCTGCTTTCTCCTTTTTAAAATCTGTTCTGGGTGAGTTGAGGTAAGGTGCTGCTTTCTCCTTTTTAAAATGTTCTGGGTGGGTTGTGCAGCATAGTTTTGAGCTGGGGGGTTATGTTTCTGTGCTGTGATGGGTCTTGGGGGGTTTGCTTGTGTTTTTTTGGGTTTTTTCCCCATTTCTGATGGGTCCTTCACACTTTGCTTGCTTTCTGCATTGCTTTTTCTTCATTTCCTATGGGTCTTGCATGCTTTGCTTGCTTTCTGGTTTGCTTTTTCTGCATTTCCAATGGGGCTTGCATGTTTGGCTTGCTTTCTGCTTTGCTTTTTTGCATTTCCGATGGGTCTTGCATGGTTGGCTTACTTTCTGCTTTGCTTTTTTTGCAATTCTGATGGGTCTTGCACGCTTGGCTTGCTTTTCTCCCCCCTTAAGCCAGAACAGATTAATCGTGTTTCCCATCGATCTTGCAGTGGTTTTTTTTTGGAGGGGGGTTGATTTTTTTTCTTTGGCCAGAATGGATTAATTGCATTTCAGTGCATTTCAATGGGAAATGGTGCTTCGACTTACAGTACGACCATTTTGGGTTACGACCAGCTTCCTGAACTGATTAAGTTCATAAATCGAGGCACCACTGCATAGTACAGTACAACCAGTTTATTCCACAAAGTTTATTTCTTTAAGGCAAACCATTTTGGGTTACGACCAGCTTCCTGAACTGATTAAGTTCATAAATCGAGGCACCACTGCATAGTACAGTACAACCAGTTTATTCCACAAAGTTTATTTCTTGTTTTTAAGGCAAAAAAAGCCACATACCTGCCCCGCTCCAAAATAAAATGTGTACATGCTTCAACTCAGTGCAGCAACGTGAAACAATCTGTTCTTGTCCAATGCCAGGTTTCAGTTTAATTTTACCATTTAAAATGTCTGCTACTATTACAAGGAGAACTTTCCGTTCTCCCGCCGGACCACGCCGCCATTAATCTTGAAGATTTCAAACGGAGAGCTACTTATAAGAATTTGAGACTGTGCTCACAACTATCCCCAAAAATAATTTTTATATGAATGCTGCTCAGTGGGGGCGGGAGGAGAGGCGGTTAGATTAGAAAAAAGATGGGGGGAGGCGGGGCAACGGTGCTGAAGCGCGAGCTCTTACAATGCTGAGGGGCGGGACAACAGCTCCGCTCGAAATACGGAAAGGGGCGTGGCCGCGGTTGGGGAGATTAAAAATATGTGCCCTTTGGAAGAGCGCGGGGGAAGCTGTTGGGATCAAGCCATCTTGTTACGACCAATCCCCCGCTGCCGAAGAAGACGGACAGAGCCGAGAAACCGGCTGGGCACCTCTTCTAAAACTACGGCTATAGAATACTGAGGAAAAAGGCGGGGCTTATCTTGGGCGAGGAGGCGTGGCGTTGGAGAATCCAAGCTGTGTACCTCACAAACGAGGGGAGAGCAGAGGGGGCGGGGCCTGAGTGGCCGTTGGTCTCGCGGCGGTGCGAGCTCGCGACCCTCCCCCCCTCCGCGTTCGGCCAAGGCAAAGA